TCTGTAATCAGATTTTTGTTTAGCCATGAGTATTCACAGCTTCCCAGATCAAATTCTTCAACACAGGATTAGTCACATCTCTAGCTTGAATCGCTGCATTCCTCAAAGTCCTAATCGTCCACACATTTGCTTCCCACCACGAAAGACTTCTATACGGTAGATTATGTTTCTTACAAAGCTCTTGAACTACCGGAGATACTCGCCGGAGATGACAACGAGGTAACCGAGGAAACAAATGATGCTCTAACTGAAACTGCAATCCACCGAAAAACCAATCCATATACGATCTACACGATATATCAAGCGTACCGGCGGTTTGTTTCTCGAACCAGTCGTTTCCGTTTGGTGGACCGGTATAAACATCGGCTGCGAAATGGTTTAAACAGAATTGAACATGTTGAATCGCCGTCACGGCGAAACTCACGAACATAAAGAGGATCCTCTCTTGCCAATTTGGTAAGAAGGAGACCAAAAGTGGAAACCATGTCCAGAAAACGAGAATTCCGGCGATGTTTAAAGCTCGGTCTGGAACGTGACGTGTCGAGAATAGCAAAAGGAACGTTTGGATAAACAGATTGATTCTTCCGACGCACATTACTGGGTAAAAAGTCCAATGTTGGTAACTGATTAAGAATCGAGCTAATGGATCGAAGGTTAATCTCCGACCATAGAAGCGTGACGTCATCGAATTGAAGAATTTGGTTGAGACGGCGAAGATTGGGATGTGTTGTAGATCTGGATCGTGATCAAGGCTATTACAAGCGAGATGGTGAGCGTTATGAGTCCATTTCCACCACGCGATTGAGATTCCGGTGAGACAGTTACCGGATAAAAGCTGTACGAGTTTATTACACGGTTTCGTCGACGTGACGTTGTAATGACCGGAATCGTGTCCGACGTAAGCGCTCTGGATCCAGAGAAGTCCGAGTAACACGGCGGAGATTAGGTGAGCCCAGACGGTGGTGCAAGCACAAACGCCGTAAACAACCGCCGCTAACATAACCACGACGCACGTGAGTGTGTAGAGAGTCACGTGTTCTTTTTTCTCGAAGAGTCCGCGTTTGGAGAACTCGACGGCTAAACGACGGTAGTCACGTGACACGTCGGACACGTGGAAGTCTCTCACGTGGTAACCGTTGTGAAGGTTTTCGAGGTGGTTCCATGCGGTTCCAGGATGGTAAGCGATGAATGCGTCGGTTACGTCTTGACCGGCGAGATTGAGAATCGCTGATTCACCTCCGGGATGAGATTTAACCCAATCGGAAACATCGTAGACTTTTCCTTGAATCGAAATCCATAAATCTCCAGGTTGGTTATGTTTTTTCAGATCTTCGTTTGTAATGTATCTCTTCTTCGTTTGTTCCGCCATTGTTGAAAACCAGAGAATTTTTTTTTACAGAACCCAATTTGAGAAAAGGTTTTGAACCTTTCCCTATGGATTCGTAATTCACAGCTTTCTGAATTGATCTCGTTGAGCTAATTTATTCTTTTATATTCTGGTTTTGGTTTCTTTTACTGTTTTAGAATCTGTGATTTTGGAGTCATTTGACACATGTTATGCTGTGTTTTTATTTTTAGGACCGATTTACGAGGTAAAGCGTGTGAAAATCCACTGGTTTTAAATTTTAAATTGTCTTTTTTTAAACCGTTACGTTAAGCTCTTTTTTTGTGTCATTAGTTCGTGACCAAAAAAAAGAAGAAAAAAAATTCAACACATTTTGTATTATATGATACATGAATACAATGGTTTATATTTATGGGCTTAAATCTGTTAAAAATGGGCCATATATCATCTATTTGAAAGCCCAAATATTTCATAAAGCATTCTGTCTCCGAGTCTAGACCTCGCGCGCTCTGCTTTTGCCGGCGTCGGATCTCGCGAAAGTCCGCCGTGTCTCCTCCGTAGAAAATTTTATCTGTAAGTCTTCATTACTCTCACGATTATTATCTGCCATACGCGCAATGATTTGTTGTCTTTTTTCTAACTTCCGATTATTCATTTGATTTCTAAGTTTCTTAGCTGAAATCGACGGTTTTGTTTTTGTTTTGAGGGTTTCTGTTAGAGAGCCTCCGAGATGAATCCGGCGAATTTCCAGCCTCCGAATTCTCCGTTCCAGTGGGCTCCGATGCTACCTCCGGATCCGCCTCGTTGTGGTGTGTTTTGGAATACGAAGAACATAATCGATCAGCTTAAACAGCTCCAAGATACGCTTAACCTGGCAAAATCAATGTAAGAAATGTCACTGAAATTGTATTTTCTTGTGATAGTGAATCGATTTGAGTGTCGGAGCTTTTGATTTTAGGGTTTATAGTTACAAATATTGAATCACAGTTAAGTTAATGGAGTTGCATCTAGTTCCAAATTGGTTATTGCAAGTCCACTGATGGTGAATTCTTAGGGAGAAGGAATTGGAAGCGTTGAGGATGATAAAAGATGCTAAAGGATCAGTGGAAATTGTAGAACAAGGTTCTGGAGTAGAGTGTTTGAGATATCTAGAAGGTATGAAGATGGATTTGGAACAACAGGAGACACTTTCAGTGGAAGCTGCAGACTCCTTAATGTCTACCTTAAGAGCAAAGCTTGAGCCTTTTAGGTTTGTTGTTGATGAGAATAGTCCATGGGAGGAGAAATCTGCAGCAGTAAGATTGACTTGCAGAATGAAGAAGTCGACAAGGAACAAACTGTGGAAGAAACGAAAGAGACGATGTGTTGCAGAGTTGCGTGCTAAGGTGGATCTGTATGTTCTGTTCAGCTTGTTTCAGTTGCAAATTTTGCAGGTTTATTGAGTTTGTAACTTTATCATCCTGATTCTATGGTTTCAGGAGCCTGAAAGATTTGAACAAGCGAATCGAGAGGCCGATGAATGGAGGGAAAGGGAAATGGCCAAGGACATGGCAAACAGAAAGGTAATATCGAGAAATCATAAGCATTTAAGCAATATATCTGTTGCTTATTTTGGTCTCTGAGGGTATATCTGTTTTCAGGTCGACGAAATGAAGGCAATTGAGAAGGTCAAGGCTAAACGAAAACGAAGGAGACTAGAACCTGAGGTGAGACTTCTGAATCCAGCCACTTCTGAATCCAGCCATCTCAGATGGAATTACTGCTTTTATTACTGGTCATTGTAGCCATTATACTGAGAACTTGAGATTGGTTTTGTATATTTCACCTTTGAGTTTTTCTTGTTGGATTATCTCAAACAATCTCATGGTTTCAATGTTTCAGCTTGAACTAGCTCTAATAGTAGAGGAAATGCAAGAGTTACGATCCCTAAGAATCGAAAAACTAAAAAAGCAAGGTATTTAAATAATCTGAAGTAATTTGTTAGGATACCGGGTGCCTGACTGAAGTAAACTGGTTATATGCACACTATGCAGGTCATTTTCTTCCAGAAGAAGATGACAAGTTCTTCGAGAGTGTTCGTGCTGCAGTGGAGCAAGAGGAAAACCAAGCTCAGTCCCTAATCAACACAGAGACCGAAAAGAATGTCGTTGCCTCGGAGGAGGACACTACCACTCTCACCACCAGTAACAAACCTGAGAAAGACGCGGATAAGGAAACCAATACTGTTGCAGCTTCTTGTGAAAAGACAATGGAAGCTCCGGACAATGCTTTCGACAATGTATCAAATTTACCTGCTGAGTTGTATCACTACTATTACGGAAGCAATTTGGACATGGGAAGACTTATTGAGGTGGGTTCTAATTTTCCTCCTCTCTCATGATGTTAAAGAGGTGAATTCAGCTGATGCATTTATGGTGTAAAAATACAGATCAGACGAGAATGGGATGCATATCTGAGTCCCGGAGGAAGGTAAGTTTACCATATTTGATCTTCATAATCTAGACAAGTTTTTTATATTTGATTGTCTCCTAATAAAAAAGGTCATTCTCTCTCTCTCTATACAGCCGGATTCCTGGACATTGGGTCCAGCCATCGCCACCAACTAATGAGATTTGGGCTTCATGTCTTGTCAAAACTCCGAATAAAGACCTCACTTCTTAGTTCGGATACGAGGAAATTGGTTTCTGAGATTTTGTCGTTTGTGTCCCTTTTGATATAGAACCATTACGCTTAGTAGACAAAACAATACAAAGCGATTGCTCTCTGTACACATGTTCGGTTCCAATTTTGCCGGCTTAATGTAGAGACAATACAGTAAAGTTGTAGATATGATACTTATTGCCATTCTTACTTACGTATTACATTGGATTTTACTTTTAACTATTTTCAGTATTTTTAATCAAATTATTTTACGACCATTGGAATTAAAATCAGTTTCTGTTCTCTTCATTTCATAGAGCAACTTGAACAATTCACCATGAATATCATTTTTTTTTTATCAAAGTGTGTTTCGAATTCATATTTTATCACCAATCAAATTTTTATCCTCAGGTCGTCCGTTCTAATCCTCAGAGATAGTTTCTGGTCCAGTAATAAAGACTAAATAACATAATTATTCATGGAAAGATGATTGAATCACAGTAAATGTGGGGAAGATGATTGTTGAGCTATTCAATTGACAATGAATCACAACTGCCCATCTGCCCCAAATCGATTTCGCAGAGAAATCTTTCGTACAAAGCGCATCAATCGCACAAAGCCGATACACACAATCTCTGCTTTAAAATTATCAAAAAAAAACTGAAAATTTTCACATCATGAACTATACACCAAGAACACGTGATGATCCACGAAAAACAAACAGAACATCGATGCTCTCTTGGAGACTAAATCTACGAAGGTTAATTAAAATTGTTAGAGAAGCCTCATTTCATGAGTATATACTCGCTTCCCTGCTGGGTCCTTCGCTTAATTCACAATCAAAATCAACAGAATTTAATCGAAAACAAAATCCATAAGGGATGAAAAACCGAAATCCAGAATTGAAACCATAGATCTCGGAAAAATATCCACCAATCTCCGATTTTGAATCTCCGAAGGCAAACTTGGCTTGAATACGCATTGATTAAAGCGTTTCACCCATAGGTCCCTCGTTACCTCAATTTGCAAAAACAATTGAAAGACGAATTCGATGCTCAGCGAATACGAACCATAATATAATCGGATTTCATTTCGTAAGACGTAATTCGCCTCACGATCTGTTAAAAATTTTCCGAAATTAACTCTTCATCGCACCTTAG